ATAAAAAATTAATTTATTTGTTTTTAAGGTTTTAAAATTAAAAATATAAGGAGAGTTGCTTAAATAGTTTTATTTAAAAACTTGCATCAATATTCACATGTTTAAACTGCCAATTTTCAAATATCTTAGCATCAAAAAGCTCTATTTTTGAAATTAACAGTGAAGATTTAGGAATAATAAAACTTATATAAGTTAAGGCAAATAATCTAATAAGTAACTTAAAATAAGTGTCGAATAGTTCAGGTTGCATTAGTATCTATACAATTAACAGACTTTTAGATATAAAAATTTAATACTCAGAGTTTCAGAATGTTTTTAATAGGATGTCTTCATCTATTTTATCAATATAGCCATCTTAGATTAAAAATATCATTAGTTTAATTGATATGATTGTTTATCTTTAATGAATCAAATTCTTATTGTGTAATTCTTAAACATAATAATTGAGGAAAACTATTTAGAAATACGAAATATTTTGATAATATAACATTTGGATTCTTCGAAATATTTGTTCTCTTAAATAGGAAATATAAGTTTTATGGAACTTTAAGATATTTCAAGAAGCTAAAATTAATTATTTTATTTTGAAAGTTGTTCATTAAATATCTTTAATGTTAGTTTTGTAAGTTTTTATATGTCACCTATTTGGGTAATTTAAATGCACCAAAAATAAAATTTTGAACCTTTAGATCGAATAGCAGATATTGAATCAAAAGTACTGATGCATAAAGTAAGCATTTTTAATACTTTTAATTTATATATAAAGTTAATCAAATAACATTATTTTTATTTCCATTAATTGAAGATTTTGGAAAATAATTGTATCAATTGTTTTAATTGGTTGATTCATTTTGGTTTACTAACTTTCTAAATGATTAAAATATCAGAACTAATATATTATTACAACATTATTTAATTGTAAAGTTGCTTAAAAATTGTGGATGAAAATTAATAATCTCTGCCTATTAAAATAATCAGTTCAGATTTTATTAAAAATAATGGAAGTTAAGGTGTTGCTATTTAATCTAATAGTCCAATAATATTTAGAATTGTAAAATAATTTCCAACATTGCCAGCTTTAGAGGAGGTGGATTTATTTGAAACTGAAAAGTGACTAATTTATAATAAAATATTCTATAATTGTTGGGAATAAAAGCAAAAGAAGGTGGAGGAATATAATTTAATGGATACAGTAATTTAAATCAAAATAATTTTATTTAAACATATTTATTCTGTAATTATGCTTCTGATTGTGCTAATAATGTAGTTGAAAGTCCAACCCATTTGGCATTATTAATAAATTACTTAGAAATTAAAGTAGATAATGCATAATTTCAAAAAATTTAAACTAATATTTTAAGGATTTTTCCTTACTTGACTATAGAACAAGAGGTTAAAATTAAAACTGCATATCTAATGATTCCTATTGGCTAAGCAACCTAGGGGTAATCTATTTATTCCTAGAAAATCATAAACTTATAGATAGATTAAACAAATAGAATGAATATATAAAAATAATTTAAATGAAATCCAAAAAAACATAGTTAATTCATCCTGAATGATAACAGAAAATATAGTCAAGAAGAATGAATAAATAGATGGAAATCAGCAACATGCTAAATTACTTTTTAATACTGAAAAAATCATTTTGATTTAAGTTCAATTACTTTTTCATTAATCTTTTTACATAAGATAATTAGTACTTTATGTTTCAAAAATACAAGATTTGTTTAGGA